TCCCATCGAGAGGCACGCAACTTAGGTGTCCTTCTGGATTCCCAGCTGTCTTTGGAAGACCACCTTACGGCCATGACCAGGGGGGCTTTTGGCCAGGTTCACCTGGTGCGCCAGTTGCACCCTTTCCTAGACCAAGATGCCCTTCGCATGGTCACTCATGCCCTGGTTACTTCTCGCTTGGATTACTGCAACTCCCTCTACATGAGGCTGCCCTTGAGGTGCACCCGGAGGCTCCAGCTGGTCCAGAATGTGGCCACGTGGGTGGTTACGGGAGCTCCCTGTTACTCTTGTGTAACACCTCTCCTACGCAAGCTACACTGGCTACCAGTGGTTCTCCGGATCCACTTCAAGGTGCTGGTACTTACTTTTAAAGCCCTACATGGCTTAGGTTCAGGGTATCTGCAGGACATCTCTTACCCACCTCCCACCATCCTGTCTGCTCACACGGGGCTGCCCTCCTCAGGTACCGTCGGCCAGACAATGTTGGCTGGCGACGTCCAGGGGTAGAGCATTCTCTGTAGGCGCTCCTGTCCTCTGGAATGAGTTACCCACCGAGCTTCAGATGGCACCTGATCTCCGTTCCTTCCGTCAGGACCTAAAGACTTGGCTGTTTCAACAAATGGGTTGATCCTGATCCTTCGGTTTTATTATTTTATTGTCGTTGTTTTAACTGGGTTTTAATTACGTTACTTTTTATTATTGTATGTTTTAACTTGTGTTCGCCGCCCTGAGTCCTTAGGGAGAAGGGCGGCATATAAATTTTTGGAAATAAATAAATAAATAAAATATTGCAGGCCCAATTGGCAAAAGAAAGCTTAGGACTGTACGGGTTGGAAACATGAGAAAGAGGCCTTAATCCTGCAGTGGATAGACAATGGCAATGATGATGATGATGATTTCAGTTTGTATAGATGCCCACCTTATATTTGTGACTCACATAAAGAACCAAACAACACAATAAACAAAATACCAAAATCAATAAAAAAATATATTTTAAAAGCAATTTAAAATTTCACTAAAAAACAATATTTAAACCACTTCAGTATCCCAACTTGCTGCTTTCCACTTTTTTTCCACATGAAAAGACATTTATCTAATGAAAACTTCAAAACTGGTCTGAAAAGAAATATGTACTGGATCGCCTCATCAGAGACCTCCTTTTTTATTGTTTAACTGAATGCCTGCCTAGCACTTCATGAAGATATGCTTTATAACCACCAGTATACTCATTTTACACATTTACGTGGATATTCTGATTTACTAATTTATTTTAACAGATTTGGTGGGGTGGTTAATTGTTTTGTGAGTTTTTCCTTCAACTATCTTTAGCATTAAATGAAAAGGCAGAATATATTAAATAAAATAAACAATTTCCCTAAACGTTTCTTTATGCCATTTTAAAAAAATCATTAATTTTTATATTTTAAGTAAAAATGCATTAATTACATTTTCACAAGGATCTGAGAATCTGAACACATGCAATTGTATGCATATTTTATATTTAGATTGCAAAAGGAATATCACATTAAAACATTTCCAAACACCTCATGACTTAAATTTAAAGAGATTCTTTAATAATTTAATTTTATAATTAGTGTGAATGTCTCCTTAGAGCATGCTTTACCTAAAATGTACTGATATCGTGACTTAATTCCTTGTAATTTATAATTCTGGGATTCATTGATAAATTGGAATTGTATCAGTAAGAACCAGGCGTGCAGATGAATTTGGGCTTACGTGATAAGTAGGGCAGCTCCACAACTGAAACAAACAAACTACAGGTTTAAAACACATCCATCTACTTTATATGATTAGCCAATGGTATTTGCTAGAATATGCATAAATGTGCATTTAAATGGGGAAATACACCCTGATTTTTAATTAACCAAGCCTTTATAGTGCATGTTTAAATGCATTTGGAATACTACTGACTTCTATTTTTCCAGACCTGTAAATATACCAGTGAGCATATTTGTATTTTTCGAGATTTGGAATTTGCAGAGTATGCCAGTCAGTCATTATTTATCTTGCTGCCTCCATGCTAAGCTGACCAATAGCAGACTGTCTTTTAACTTGGTCTAAAGACCAAAAACAAAACAAAAACCCAACAATAGTACATCTCTCGCCAAAGATCTATGCATTTGTCTACATCTATTTGACATTTAGCAAAGGAAAAGAATCTTTCTGAGATGCTCAGAGGTGGTGGCAGGAATCTCGGCTGTAAAAATGTCTAGAACATGGCAGTTTCATAGTGGTGTAACAGTGAATATATACATTTAAACTTTTCTGTGTGGCTGCAATCATAATGGCATGGTGCATTCATAAATCTGCATTGAAAAGCCTTTTTGATTAGAGTAATGTAGCGGGAAAATAAAGGAAAATGAAATTCAAAAATGCAAATATGTAAAAGTTGCTATGACAGCTCCATGAACAAGATAAAAACATCTGAGATGGAGCGGAGAGCATTGGTTACAAATGCCATTTGCCCTGGTTTCAGATAGAAATGTTACATTTCAGAGACAAAGTGGATTTACCTTTGCAGGCAATATGATCAGTTGAAGAAACAAAGATTAGAAAACAGATACCTCTGCCACTGTCCAACAGATCAGTAGATGTGGCACCAGGTGACAATAATTCAGATTCTAAATTCCAATTCTGGAACCCACAATTCCAAGCTGCAAGATGTGATCTCACTATTTGAGGTATCAGAATACTCTAAAAACATGGTACTATCATGTCACTGAGCCATGTGTTCCTTCAGGAGCATATGCATTGAAAACCACCACTCAATTTCCATGAGTCATGCATCTGACACATGTAAAATGGTGGAGCTTTGATTGCTTACCTACCACTCAGTGGTGAAATCCAATTTTTTTTACTACTGATTCTGTGGGCATGGCTTGGTGGGCGTGGTGTGGCTTGGTGGGCGTGGCAGGGGAAGGATACTGCAAAATCTCCATTCCCACCCCACTCCAGGGGAAGGATATTCCCATCCCACTTTGGGGCCAGCCAGAAGTAGTATTTGCCTGTTCCCTGAAGTACTCAAAATTTCCGCTCCCGATTTTCCGAACTGCTCAAAATTTCTGCTTCCGGTTCTCCAGAACCTGTCAGAACCTGCTGGATTTCACCCCTGTTACCGCTGCTATCTTTATTGGGTTTTTTTAATCAAGCCCTTAAGTGTTCCTTTTATCTTCTAAAGCAGGAGAAAAGAATTTTGTTATCAATTCACCTTCATACAAAACATGCAAATTCTGAATTTAAAACTGATGATAATTATGGTATCAAGGATACATAGTTAAGTTCTCAAAATGCACACATGTAAAATTATGCTTTTGTAAATTACTTTATTTTAAAACACAATCATTTTTAAAATGTGTTCTTGCTAAAAGCCAAAAAATATTTTAGGTTTTCCTTTTTCCCCTTTTGTAAACAGAGAAAGTCTTCCCAAATAATGGACCTTTGTAGATTTATATGCCATTGCTCATAGGAAAGTGTTTTATAAACTGAAAAATGAAGTTGGTTTCCTGAGTCATCACTAAGTAAGGACGAATTGGCCTGGCAGGCGGCCAAATATACTTTAGAAATACCCAAGGCTGAGTCAATAACTGTCTTGAGGAAATCACAGATCTAGCACCATTGGATGTTGCTGATCTGCCATAGTGTGTCATGCTAACTTTGTGTGTGTGTGTCGTCCCCTCTTTATTCGTGAGGTCCCCATGGGTTATTTCTTCTGTATTGTTAGTCAGTGGATAAACCCAGTCTTCTCCATAATATTATTACTCTGCTCCCTTTTTCTTCTAGGCCACAAGGAAATTATAAGCAAGGACGATAGCAAGAAGGAGAAGGAGGAATACTAAGACAAGAAAGCTCTCAGTGCTGGCTCTTTTATACAGCAACATGTAGATGAAAAACACATTTTGGAATATTACTTTCACACAGAAAACTAGTATATCAAGAATAACGTTATACACAATGCTTCTTAGTATGAACATTAAAAAAGAATAGTCTGTTTTTGAATCCAGCCACTGCCTTATCGCACATTAACTGTCCATGCACAAAGATAATATTTCTTTTCAGTCGACCCTATCTACTTCTTAGTGACATAGGGTTGCTTTTGGTCATTTTATCCAAACTGATTTAGTAATAGAAGGATGGTTCTTCCATTATTAAAAATAAAGGTTTTGACCAGGAGAGAAGGTGGTTTATTCTTTTACCAGGCCCAGGCTTGACTAGAATAGGAGTGAAGGCATTGTCCTTTCATCTAGGACAGGGCTCTCCAACCTTGGGAACTTTAAGCCTGGCAGACTTCAACTCCCAGAATTCCTCAGCCAGCAAAGCAAAGAATTCTGGGAATTGAAGTCTGCTAGGCTTAAAGTTCCCCAGGTTGGAGAGCCCTGATCTAGGACATTGGGCTTGCAATGTTGTCAGTTGGCTAGGCTAGAACTGTTCACCTCAAGTAGCCTTTCTGTAGCCATAATCTATCAAATGTTAGTAGCTCAGATTTTAATCAAATTATCCTTTTACTGTCTCAAAACTCTTTTTTAGGTTTATTCTCCTGCCTGGAGAGTAAGTGTAAGTGTGTCACACAAGACTTCTTTCTGCAATACAATTCTCAGTGAGGAGAAGCAGAAATTTAGTTATTGTTGTAAACCTGAGACAGTTCATTCACCTCTTAGAAATTTGGCTGATTGCTCTTTTCCTGAGGGTTGAGACTGCCCAAGATAAAGTCATCTTATTAACTATCATCATTGGTCATCTTTCATAGGAAGCACCTTCTTATTAGCCTGTTAAAAGGCACTAAATGGAGTTCAGTCCCCATAGGATTGTTTATTATGGCCCACATATTGGATGATTCATTTTAAAAGGTTGTGCCAATCAGCAGTGGTTTTCTAAACAGCAGTAATTAAAACTGAAGAATGGCATAGTCAGTTTAATAACATACAGTGGCCATGAAGTCAGCAACTGAACTAAATAACAAGCTTCACCAACCCGTTGCCTACCTGTAATTTGAACTGGTAACTCCAAAATCCTTCTGAGGAGAAATCTTTACATACCTGGAATACTTCAGCTGGAGAAAGCTACTCTATGACATCATTGAAAGCAGAATTTTGAGAACGTTAAGTAAAAGAAGATGAGTTTTCTGAGCTCTTTTTAAGTACTAGAATTAGTTTATTTATTTATTTATTTATTTATTTATTTATTTATTTTATCTCAAATTTATATACCGCAGCTTCTCCCGAGGGACTCAGGGCCATGTACAGCCAGATAAAAACATACAATATAAACATTAAAAACAGTTAAAAGGATATATATTAATTTGGCCCCAATTTAAGATAACAAACCAATTAAAAATTAAAAAATATTAAAAAAATATGTTAAGCCACCCTGGCTTGCTGAAAAAAGAAAGTTTTAAGGGCACGGCGGAAGGCACCGAGGTCTTGGATCCTCCTTATCTCAGGGAGCAGCTGATTCCAGAGGGTAGGTGCCCCCACAGAGAAGGCCCTTTCTGTGGGAGCGCACAGGTCGGTGGGAGGTGGTCGGTAGCAGAAGGCAGTCTCAAAAATAAGTAGGTCCTATGCCATGGAGCGCTTTAAAGGTGGTAACCAACACCTTGAAGTGCACCTGGAAGACCACTGGGAGCCAGTGCAGCTCACGCAGGAGTGGTGTTATGTGGAAGCGCGAAGCAGCTCCCGTAATTACCCGCGCGGCCGCATTCTGGACCAGTTGGAGCCTCCGGGTGCTCCTCAAGGGGAGCCCCATGTAGAGAGTGTTGCAGTAGTCCAGGCGTGAGGTGACGAGGGCATGAGTGACTGTGCACAGGGAATCCCGATCAAGAAAGGGCCGCAACTGGCGAATCAGGCGAACCTGACAAAAGGTCCCCCTGGCTACAGCCGTCAGATGTTCCTCCAAGGACAGCTGCGAATCCAGGAGGACTCCCAGATTGTGCGCCCTCTCTGCGGGGGCCAAAGACTTGCCCCCGATAGTCAGTGATGGAGTCAACTGACTATATCGGGATGCCAGGAGCCACAGCCACTCAGTCTTGGAAGGGTAGAGCTTGAGCCTGTTCCTCTCCAACCAGATCCGCACAGCCTCCAGGCACCGGGACATCACTTCAAGGGCATCGTTGGGGTGGCCTGGGGTGGAGATGTACAGCTGGGTGTCATCAGCGTACTGATGGTACTTCACCCCAAAGCCACAGATTATCTCACCCAGCAGCTTCACATAAATGTTGAACAGAAGGGGCAAGAGGACCGACCCCTGAGGCACTCCACAAATGAGAGGCCTCAAGGTCGACCTCTGCCCCCCTGCCAATACGAACTGCGACCGGTCTGAGAGAAAGGAGGAGAAACACCGTAACACGGTGCCTCCCATCCCCAACTCTTCCAACCGGTGCAGCATGATACCATGGTCGATGGTATCAAAAGCCACTGAGAGGTCTAACAGGGCCAGAACAGAGGAGCAACCCCTGTCCCGAGCCCTCCAGAGATCATCTACCAACACGACCAATGCTGTTTCCATGCTGTGCCCAGACCTGAAACCTGACTGGAACACATCTAGATAAGATGTTTCCTCCAGGAATTGTGGAAACTGTCGCGCGACCACACTCTCAACAACCTTCACAACAAAGCGAAGGTTGGAGACAGGACGATAGTTGGCTAATACTTCTGGGTCCAGGGAAGGCTTCTTGAGGAGAGGATTCACCACCGCCTCTTTCAAGGCGGCGGGGAAGTGACCCTCACTCAACAAAGCATTGATAATTCCCTGGAGCCAGCCTCGTGTAACCTCCCGGGAAGCCAGTACTAACCAGGAGGGACGCGGGTCCAGTAAACATGTGGCCGCTCTAAGTCTCCCCAAAATCCTGTCCACATCATCAGGAGTCACAGAGTCAAACTCTTCCCAGATAGCATTCTCAAGACTATTCCTCGTCACCCAGCCTGAATCTACCCAGTCAGAGTCCAAATCCCCCCGGATCTGAGCGATTTTGTCATACAGGTATTGTCCGAAATCCTCAGCCCTGCCTTCCAGGGGGTCCTCCCGCACTCCCGGATGGAACAAGGAGCGGGTCATCCTGAAGAGGGCGGCCGGACGATTCTCTGATGATGCAATAAGAGCGGAAAAGTAATTACACTTTGCTGCTTTTGTCGCCACTAGGTAGGTCTTAATATGCGACCTACCAGTGTTCGGTCAGATTCAGCGAGACTGGCTCTCCAACTGCTCTCCAGGCGTCTTTTCCGGTGTTTCATCTTCCTCAGTTCCTCGGTAAACCAAGGAGCCACGAGGGATCAGCACCAGGTCAGAGGCCGCAAAGGCATGACTCGATTCAAGGCCCCACCAGCTGCCCGATCCCAGGCAGCCACCAGGTCTTCAGCCGAGTCATGTGCCAGATCCTCAGGAAGTGGCCCAAGCTCCATCTGGAACCTATCAGGATCCATCAGGCGCCTGGGGTGAAACCATCTAGTTGGCTCCGCCTCCCTGCAGCGGGGTGTAGCGGTTCGAAGGTCCAGGCGAAGGAGCGAGTGGTCTGACCATGACAAGGGTTCCATGTCTATATCCCCTATAACTCAACCACTGGCCAGAGACAATAAACAGGTCCAGAGTGTGACACACACCCCCGTGGGTGGGGCCATGAACTAACTGGGTCAGGTCCATGGCTGTCAGGGAAGCCATGAACTCCCGAGCCATCTCAGACGTTTCACCAACGGATGGCAAGTTGAAATCACCCATGACCATAAGCCTGCATGTATCAACTGCCACCGTGGCTATCACGTCGAGTAGCTCGGGCAGGGCCATTGCCACATGGCAGGGAGTCAGGTACGTAAGCAACAAGCCCATCTGAACCCCATGACCCTATCTCACAAAGAGGGATTCACACCCAGAAGTCTGAGGCACAGTGGTCTCCCTCGGACCAAGATCTTCTTTAATAATAACCGCCACCCCCCGCCCCTCCCCTGGGCCTTTGGCTGATGGAATGCTCTGAAGCCTGGTGGCCACATCTCACCCAGGGGGACCCCTCCCTCCGGGCCCAACCAGGTCTCCGTAATACCCACCAGGTCTGCTCCCCCCTCCTGTATAAGATCATGAATGAGGGGGGCCTTATTTACCATGGACCTGGTGTTGTACAGCATCAGCCGAAGGCCCAGATCCTGAGTATCTGTGCCACCTAGTATCCGAGAGGAGCCTTGGGGACCGGAGCACGCAATTGCTCTCAAACATCAGGTGTGCACCCCCGACACATGATGTGGTCCCCTGCTTTCGCCATATCTGCCCCTTCCATCAACCGTGCTGATGGTACATCCCTCATTGGAATAGCCCTCCACCCCCTCCCCAATCCCTCGTCCTGCACCCTCCAAACCGCCACCCCGTGCTGGGCTCGGCTCCGACCTTAGTGGATTACCCCCCCACATCCCCTTTGGTCGTCCTCCCGGTTCCCCTTAAAAGATTATTAAAAACCTCCCTCCCAGTTATAAATAAGGTATGATAATCAACAATTAACTTGGCTTCAATGGAATATTGTATTCATGCAATGATTACTGTTGATGAACTATCTTTGGCAAATTAGTAGTTACTTAATAGACTTTCCAAAAATTTCCCATATAACATCATAGTTGCAGGATTATCGTAAACATTATTGTACTATTCTCAAAATTCCGTATCTCAATAAATATTTTAGGTGGGCCCTATTTTCAGGGTAAAGTAAACCAATGAATATAGTACTGTAGCTAATAAATAGCTTATACTTTAACATGTATTATAGATACAAAAAATTCATACATAGCTTTGAAATTGCGGGACCGCCTACTACCACCAATAGCCTCCCACCGGCCGGTACGCTCTCATAGAGAGGGGCTTCTCCGGGTGCCATCAGCCAAACAATGTCGACTGGCGGCCCCCAGGGGGAGAGCCTTCTCTGTGGGGGTACCTACTGTCTGGAACAAGCTCCCCCCGGAGATACGGAGGATCCCGGATCTGCGCACCTTCTGCCGCGCTCTAAAGATCTTTTTATTTCACCAGGTGGGCCTGGCCTAACTTTCTCCCTCTTTTTAAACAATTTTAATAATTTTAATATTTTTTAATATTTTTAATACTCAAAGTTTAAATTTGTTTTAAATTGATTGGGGTTTTAATTTGTCTGGACCAAAATATTTAATTCGATTTTATTTCTGCTTTTTAAATTTTGTATATATGTATTTTATTGTTGGCTGTTCACCGCCCTGAGTCCTTCGGGAGTAGGGCGCTATATAAATCTAAAAATAAAAAAATAAAAAAAAAATAAATGTAATTATGCAAAAAGAAAGGTTTAAGCATATACATGTATGCATAATACACCCACCCATACCCATATCTTCTCTCCTTGATGAGAACTGCATTTTTGAATTGTCACTGTAAATATCTGAAAGATGTCTTTCAACTGCTTTGTCTTTTTTAAAGATTATTTTCAGAAATGCTTTGGAGAGGGAAGACTTTTGTCAATGGTCATCAGAAGCTAATTTATATTTTTATAAATATTTATAAATTAAATAATTAAAGTATTTAGAAACTAATATCTCAAACATAGTTTCCTACAGTGAATGCAACTAAGATGGCTTATGATAAATAATAAAATGCTTTACTCTAAAAGTAGAAGGAAGTATCAGTGAATTACTAATTGCTCCAGTAAACAAAAATTAAAATAGATTATTTTATTTGCTTAAGCAATTTTATGGCCCACTCAATCACTCAAATTATGATTCTGGGTGGCTGATATAGGATCAAAGCCACAAAACAAAATAATTGATAAACATAATAACTTATTATGTATTGCAAGAAATACAGTGCAATATAATACACCCAAGGTCAACCCACAATCATGATACCATCCCCCAAACCATATCAGAACGAACTCATTCAACCTTCTAGCCCATTGCTCCAAGGAAAAACTGGGTTTTCAACCATAGAGAAGGCTAGAAAGTTGGGACATATAAATCTCAAAAGGACTAGCGTATGTTCTTCAAAAACACAGGCACTGTGACCGAGAAGGCATACGTCTAGGATTTAATTAGGTAGCATTGCATCATGGAGGTGACACAAAGCATGCTCATTCTATTGGATTTTATGGGATC